GGGGGGGGTGTTTATATGTTAGCAAGCCCTCAGGCTGACTAGAATGCTAAAAGGCAAAAAAAACCCTGCACTGTCACATACTTCTTTGTCTACATGCCCACGCAATAAATAGTCAGGGTACAGAGGGAGTTCTTTCATTTATTAGGTTGTTAGGAGTTAGGTTTCCACACATGGGCAGTTTAGGCCAAAAGGTCGCAACATTGGAACAATTAAAAGGGAAAATAAATTAGCTTCTATTCTGCTTACAGAAGCCAATCCCTATGTACACAATCACAGAAAAATAGGACATATGTAAATGAGCTTATGGTGTGGTCCCCACATGTTAGACATACCACCACATGAGTATATACAGTATGTGTAGTCTATGATGTAGTGACTATCTCCAATGTGTATCATGACACAGAAGTGATGACTCCTAACTGCTGTCATAGCCGTCTATCTGAACCTGTAAGCCTGACATTCCCACGATCCTATTTCATCTTCAGCCTAATGCAGGTCTCTCTCAATCCCAGCAAAACTTTTAACACCAATGATTTCTACTGGCATGAATATTGGAGACAATTTGCCAAGTGTTTTGGATCGCCGCTGCTTGCTCTCCTGTTTTCATTTACAGATTTTGGATGAGCTCAAACTAGTTGCAGAAAAGCTGTTAATGTTTTTAAGCTGAAAGGACTAACCCGCATTGTTGTGGATAACCAAGTTATTTGTTTGCTGTTAGACAAATAATTCAATTGCTTCCTAACTGCAACTGTGAAATTAGAAAACTGCTAAAACCAGACTGGAAATGTTGATGTTCCCTATGCCAGAAAGCCCTCTCACTTTAAGTGTGATATCATCCCTTGCTGTCAGATTGAGCAAGCTTCACGCGTGTGCTCCACTTTTGATAAATTTACCTCTGTATGTTCATCAAAGTCCTCTTAACTCCATAATAGGGTCTGCCTGATCTAAAACGGTACACTTTCTGCTGTGTCTATTGTGATCAAACAGCCACAACTCCCCAGGTAGCCAGAGGGCACATCATCTTTGCCAGGGCTACGAGTGACATGATGGAGCTCAGGACAGCAATTTATGATAAGAAAAGGACACTTTTTTTTTTTTTTTTACTCCAAACTATAATCCGGGGGACTGGAGCAGACAAAATCTGGAACAGTTGGTAATGGTAACCAATCAGCTTCTCTCTTCAGTTAAGATTTAAAAATGAAACTGAGAAGCTGATTAGTTGCCATGCACAACTGCTTCAGATTGTGTCTGCTCCAGTTGTGATAAATTCCCTTCAATGCTCTTTTGTAATACTTACCCGGGCCCTATTGATTCAAGTGAAGTGTGATATTTCATGACAGATCCCCTTTAAAAGAAACTTGTCAGAAATATAGCATGCCATATATATTGATGCTATCTTGTATTGTGATGTCAAAGTTCCAGGGGTGGCATACTTATTTGTCCTTTACATCTTGGTGTCAGGTCTTACAAACACAAGTCTTCAGTCATTTTTTTAATGATCAAAATATTGACTGATCCTTGCAAATTGATTTCTTATCAGACACCGAAGGGTTCTTCTATAAAAGTTCTGCCCACTTTTCAAACGGCCCTCGTTCCCCGTAGATGGTGCTGAGGAGAATATGAATTTATAATACTCCTAAACTTTTATAGATAAACCCCCCAAATGTTTTACACAATCTGTTTCATAATGAAAGTAACATTTTCAGATATACTCAACAGTATAATCAGATATTACGTTATATAATATTGACAAATCCTGACTAATAAAATGGCTGCCCTTTCCTGAATCAGGTTACACCAAACAGCTCCTACATACCGAAAACATATCAGGGTTCTCCTCCATGATGCATTTTCAAACACTTGTGCTTGGACACTGTTAACCCTATGACAACATATCCAGCAATACAACCTGTTAAATAGAGCCCACCAAGAAATCATTCTGAGAGAATACTTGGAAACTTTTAGGAACAGTCACTCCTACAAATGATATTCCCATTATGGGTCCAATCATCAAGCCTGCTTCCAACAGTTCCCAGGGAGAATTTGGTAAATATTCACTAGCAAGAGACTTTTCTGAGCAACAATTTACCAAGATGCCTTCACACTCTAGTGAATATCACTGGCATGACCAAACAGGATTCATACAGATGTTCATACAGTCCAGCAGCTTCAGCAGCTTTGGTCACTAAAAGAAGATTCACTGTCAGAGCTGCCGTCTGCTTCAAGTCCCCCATCAGGAACTGGGGCATTTGGAGTCCTAGGGAAGTAAAAAAATAATAAATAAATAATAGTCGCACATACCCTTACAGACATACAAGCCA